GCTGGGCAATCCCCATCACAACACTCGGTCAGCGTTGTGGGCATTGCACCCTGTGACTTCTAATGTTATTTTTCAGAGACTGGGGTTCTTTTTTTTTTTGAGACAGGATCTCCCTATGTAGTTCAGTCTAGTCTTGAACTTAAGGCAATCCTTCTGCCTCAGCCTCTCAAGTGCTGGGATTAGACATGCACCACCATACCTGGCCAGTCTGCGATTGTTAATTGCATTTTAGAATATCACCTGGTCATGTCCCCTTTGGGGTTCCCCTTACACAGTATGAAGGGACTCAGGGTATGACTCTAGGAGCTGTTTATACTGACAATTCATGGAGACAGAGAAACACATTTTTACTTCATTGAGCTTCATCCCTAGAAATCTTTATGGAGAATTATAAAATCTAATTGAAAATTTTTGCATAAATTAATATTGGAATCATACAAAACCAGCACAAGAATATTGTATTTTAGGGTGAGCCTCCAAGTGTCACATTTTTTCTTAAAGCTACAGTTCCAGGCCTTTTTTATTTTCTATTTTGAGACAGGTTTTCATTAAGACTGTGCTTGAATTTGCAATCCTCCTGCCTCAGCCTCCAGGAGTGCTGGGATTACAGGTGCAGTGTGTGCCACCCTGCCTCTCTGTAGGCTCAGGATAGTCATCAGCACAATTAGGATGAAACTCGAGGTACATGCACTCAGGACAGGGCTCAGAAACTTTCTCCGAAAAGGGTCAGACTGTGGATCACACAGTCTCTTCACAGCTATTGTGCTCTGCCAAGGTAGCACAAACGCAGTCCCAGACAGCAGTAAATGACTAGGTGAGGCTGTGTTGCAATAAAACTTTATTTATAACCAGTAAAGGGCCAGATTTCTCCCTTGGGCTGATGTTTGTCATCCTCTGCTTTAGGGAAAGGACAAGCAGGAGTGAAGGGCATGGTATCAATATTCAGGTTGAGGTATGTCTTAGTTACTTTTCTGTTTTTGCTGAGACAAAATACCCACCACCCAGTTAAAGGAAGAAAGGTTTATTTGGTTTGCACAGTTCGTAAAGGTTTCCATCTAAAATTGGCTGGCTCCAAGGCTAGGTGGCGTGGCAGACAGGCACTGCAGAGGAGAAACAGTTCACAGTGGGCAGAAAGTAGCACTCACACCCTTCAGCCTAGTGCCCTTGATCCCAGCATTGCACCATAATGGATCCCCGTGTTACCCACTCTAGATCCAGCCACCTCTGAGAAACCCCACCTATAACTGCATGAGGCTTTGGGAAACATCTAGACACAGCTTAAGAAGGTGTATATGGCTTGGTGAGAGAACTGACTGGGGCACAGACATGCAGAAGATGCATAGAGTTAGCGTCCTTCTTTAAGACATCACAGGATGGGGGACAGACCTTTACAGTGGTCTCAGAGTGTGGACGTAATGGGGGGACATAAGAAGTCTCATTGTCATTCCCAACAAGAGAGACCCCATAAACAATGAAGGGATGAGCTCCTCATTCTTAGAAGCATGCGAGGAGTAAGAGGTTCTTTGTTTCTGCCCAAAATTCTATCGTGCCTGCTTTGCTGAGAGTGGAGGCCAAAGTCCCTGCAAAGGCTGGCCGGTCCAGCTGCCTCACGGCGATTGCCTCCCTCTCCCTCAGCTGCAGTCCCATCAGCCTCTGCTCCAGTGAATCCGCTGGTCTGTCTCCTAGGAACAGGTTCCCAGGCCACCCATTTGTCAGGTCACCCACCTCTCTCCCTGGATACCTGCTGGACTGCCCCCCTCCTTAGCATCTGTGGTACTCAGGGTGCCATCTAGTTCACGTATTTGGCTGATGACCTGGCTTCTCCTATGGAATGTCAGCTCCACAAGGCAGGGTCTTCTGTCTTATTGTGGATCAGGACCGAGTCCCCAGTGTTTATTGCTGGCTCGATAATAAGAGAACAGTGAATGTTTAGCCAATATGGCGGCTAGAGTTCCAAAGAGGCCACCATCATGGTGTGAATCAAAAACGCCCTTTGAAAGGTTCATGCATTCAAAGGGGGTGCTTTGGAAGGTGGCTAGGTCATGGGCATTAATCTTGTCCGTGAATTAATCCATCGATGAGTTTATAGCTAAGCATTCTCTTAAGAAGGGGAGGGGGCTGGGTGCATTCTCTTTACTGGAATAAAATACAGGACACCCACGATTTATAGCAGGAGAGGTTTGTTTTGGTTCAATTTTATTTTATTTTTATTTTCTTGTCTTTTGGAGACAGGATCTCACTGTGCAGTTCACACTGGCCTTGGGTTCACTTTGTAGCCCAGGCTGATCTTGAACTTGCAAACGATTCTCCTGCCTCAGCCTCCCAAGTGCTGGGATTACAAGTGTGTGTCACTATACCCAGCTTGGTTCAGTTTTAGAAGTTCCAGCATAGGGTCAGCAGGCATTATGTCATGGTGGAAGGACTGCTTGTGTCATGGTGGCTAGGAAACAGAGAGAAGGGAGGAGAGCTGGGGTTGGCGGGAGATGTACCCTTCCAGGTCACGCTGTCGGTGACCTGCTTCTCTCCTGTCCAGCTTCCAGTGATCTCAGAACCCATCACCCCAGCACTTGGGGATATGGTAACACAGTGCTGTGATTGTTACTTAGAGACCAATGGAGCGCTGAGGTGCCGCGTGTCATTCCCGGGTTCCTCACCTGCTGTCCCTCCCTCCCTGGAAACCAGGTCCCCTGTAGTCTACGCACCACTTGCTTCTTGGTCTCATCCTTTCTGGGAGCTTCTCCTGCAGTGAGGGCGAGGGTGAGCATTTGGTCTGGAGTCTGCTGAGACTGATTCTGCTGGAAGCCACTGCCCATGCCCTCTGGGCTTCAGGACCTGTGGGGACCCCTCTGTCCTCACATTGCTCCCTCCCCGGAGAGGCCAGAGCAGACACAACCCCTGCATGGTGGCCAAGGGCTCCACAGCTTTGAGTCCTTATTACTGTTGTTCCAAAAACTGCTCTCCCCTCTGGCCTCCCACGGTCACCTCCACCAGCAGAAACTGAGGCCCAGCTTTGTGTTTCACGGCAGCTGCCTTCAGGTGACCCTGGGAAACTCCTACTGCAGGACCACTTCCTGCCTCTGGGGGTCCAGGGAGGGCAGAGCCCTTCTCTCCAGCGCCTGACTCCCTTTCATGGATGTCTCTCCCAGCACCTTTCAGAGCGCACCCAGCCCACCCTAACACCCCAGAATGCTGTTCAGCACCTTGGTCCTGGTACCACGATCCCAAAGAGCCCGGGGTGGGCATTTTCCTGAAAGTGTGTGCCATTTGGTGTTACCATCCAAGACCACCCAGCTCACTTCTTTTTCTCTTCCACAGCACCCAGGGACTGGTTGGGGCAGGTTCCCCTGCATTTGTGTCCTCTCAAAGAGGTAACAAAGGCCCAGAGGGGTAGTGCAGGGTCAGGCTCAAAGCACGGGCTCCACAGGAAGCCAGAGGAGGTTTCCACCCCAACTTGGTGACCCTGGCAAAGTCACGTAACCTTTAGGAGCCTCAGTTTCTGACCTTTGAAAGAGGGGATGATGGCAGCCTCTCAGGGACTGTCACAAGGACTGAGAGGCACTGCGTATAATGCACTTTGCACAGCGCCTGGCACGTAGAAGACACATGACAAACAGCAGCTGTCATCATTGTTATGTGACCTGCTGAGGTCACATCGCCAGCCAAAGCACAGAAAGCTCTGTGTCCCCACCCACACCCAGATCTCGCCACCCCTTCCCTCTGCCCCTGTCTCCCCTTTGGTGGCCCCGCCCCAGGGGTCCTCCCTGGCCCCTCCCACCACCAGAGGGAACCCAGGAATCCAGGCCACAGGGCCTGCTCCCCAATGCAGCTCCCCGCTTAGGCTTACAACTCTCTGCTAAGCAGACTCCTCCCTTTCTCCCATACTCTCTCCCTACCATGAGACAGAAAGATGGGCCAGGAAAGGAGAGGATATCAAAATCTGGCTTTGAGTTGGGGTCAAAAGGAACCCCCAGAAGATGGGGTGGACTTTGCTCTGGCTCTTGCTAACTGTGTGACCTTGGGTGCATCCTTTTACCTCTCTGGGTTTTCACTTTTGTCATCTCTACTGGGGACAATAGTACCAGCCCTGGAGCATCAGGTTCTCCCTCCTGGCTCTGGAGCTGAACCAAGTCACCTTGTTGGGTGACCTCGAAGGTGCTCTGTCCCTTCTCTGCATTGCCCACTGAAATCCCATTGCAGGGATGCGTGCACCGGCCAGGATGCTCATCATCTGCAAGCACCTCGAAGGCTGGACCTTCCATCATGTCCCCTGTTGGTGGCTCCATCCCCATCACAGGGACTCACAGAGAAACCAGCCTGTGTGACGTCCGCAGATGTTGATGGATCTGTGAGCTCAAATCTCTGCCTGGGACTAAGTGCTCAGAAGAAAACAGCTCCACCCAGACCTTGGGATGACCCATCAGGGTCCCAGCCAGGGACATATCCAGGGGCCAGGGATAGCTAAGGAGGAACATTCTGAGCTCATCTGGGCTTCAGAGGATTCCTAGACAGTGGCACCAGGGTCCATCTCACCAGGCCTTTAGGCGGTGTGACTCAGTAACTAACTAGCCCTTTCTAGAAGGCTGCAGGCACCTCAGTTGAAGAACTTTCTAGAATCCACTGGCTGAGTTGTTTTTGCGCTGCCCAAGATAGTTTCATCCTGTAATTCTTGTCTTTTGCACTGTCATCACCCACGACAGTGTCTTTGCTTCACTGAATAGACTTCTGCAGATTATGATACACCAGGTGAGCTGAATCAGTGGTGTTGGTCTGTTTATCAGTGGAACTATCCTAAGGTCTTAAAAAGTATGAATACATGCTACACAACCCTACAGGTGATTCTACAGGATCATGGTCCTATATGTTAACCTTGAGGCCCGAGGTCATGAGGCTATGGACTGCCAAAGGGGTTCTGCCTGTTCTTTCCAAAGGCAGCCTGTGAACAACCGGGAAGGGGGTGTGTTGTTAGGGGTTGCAAGGAAAATGGTTACATACAGGACACATAATTTATAGTATTATTTTATGATAATCACCCAAAGAGTCAAATATGAAATCTGCAGGAAATCTTTCCACACACTACAGACTTCAAAGAAACATAGCTGAGGGCCCCAATGAAGACCTAGAGTCCATGACAATGACTCGTGCACGTCTAATTCATGGATCCCTGCTGGGAAGGTGCAAAGGTCAGGGTGGAAACCAGAAAGTCTGTGCCAGTGGGATGAAGGATCTGTGCTAAGTAGATTGAGGGTTCTGCACTGGAGGCAGGCAGCAATGCTCAGAGTAAGGACCAGGGCTCCCCCAAAATTACCACAGCCATCCTCAGCTGTGAGGTCTCAAGCTCCTCCGATGATGAGAACAGCTGAATTCATATCAGGAAGCCAGCGTGACAAGCTTCTCCTGGAGACTTAGCAGCACAACATTTTCCCCTCCAGAGCCAGGAAGTGATGCTCAGTGTAAGGACCAGAGCTCCCCAAAGTGAACCACAGCCATTCTCAGCAATAACAAGGTCCGAGCTCCTCTGACAATGAGAACAGCCAAGTTCATACCAGGAAGGAAGCTTGACAAGCTTCTTCAGGAAAACCCATGGCAGCAGGAGAACCACCAATGCTACCCACTCCTCTCCGGATCTTTTTATCTTGGCAATAGTCCTCAGGTGGGCCATCCATGCCCAGCACCACCCTGATTCAGGTCAGCTGGTGTTACAAGTTGACCACCAGTGACCAGTCCACCACAGGGTACAAAGTGGAGGTCGGAGGCCATCTCCAGACACTAAGTTGTCCCGTTAGCAATCCCAAATGCCATCTCACTCTCATGAGCTTTGGTCTCATCATCTGTAAATGGGGACAATAATGGCAGCTGGAGGACAGGGTGGGGCCCAGGGCTGGGCACAGGAGAGGGACTCAGTACTCCCCTCCCCCCTGCCCAGCCTCTGGCTGGTACTGACTTGGAGATTCCCACTGGTAGGATTCTGCTGGGGTGAGAGGGGGTGAATAGGAGTCCCAGCTCCACTGGGGGTGGGGACTGGCTCTGTGCATGCCCTCCCCAGGTAAGGGACACCCTGTGTGTCCCTGTCACTTCCCTGCTGGGAGGAGGGCCAATGCTGGCTCCTTTTCAGAACAGCGTGCCAGGATCCTGGCACCCCCAGGGTTTGGCCCTGCACTGTGAGCTCTTTGCCATGCTAGGGTGACCCTAGGGTCAGGAGGCCTCGCCAGGGTGGCCTGCCCCACCTTTGAGGAAATCCACTCCGCTGCTCTGTTCTCTTAAGGATTCCCTGGAGCGAGGCCAGGCTGAGCCAAGGTACACAGAGCGTTTGTTTGTGGAGTGCATATGTGTGAGGGGGTGCAGCTCGGGTCAAGAGAAGCACACCAAGGACGGGGGCGTGGTACTCTCTGAAGTCGATTTCAGTCAGCACAGGCCCTGCCCCAGCCCCTCCCTCTGGGAGAAAGGAGGGAGACAGGGTGGACACCGGCTGAAGGTCACACACAAGGGCTGGCTGCCTGACGCCCCGGCAGGCCCTGTCACACGGAGGTCTCTCATTCATCGAGACTGTCAAAGGTAGCTCTTGACATTCTCCTCAAAGAAGGCTATGGACTCTGCAGGGACAAAGGAAATTCATTTAGCAGTGCCTGGGAGGAGGAAAGGCTTTCTGGGGCCCTCAGTTCTTTAACCACCTTGTAGCCCTTCTAGGTTTTTACTCCAGAAGATTCAAAAAGGTAATTTGCACTTCGGAAGCATTAAGAAAAAAGAAGACTTCGATTATTATCAGGTTGCCTGTGGTCTCTGTCCTAAGACATGGAGAACCTGAAGAAATGACCTTGGCTGGGGTAGATTTCTACCTCCCAGGGCCTGGCCCGAGGAACTGCCAGGAACCATGGGGGCCATGGGGCGCCTCCTCTGACCCCAGCCCCAGCAAAGTAGGAACAAACTCAACACATAGGTGCGTCTTCTCTATGACCTTGGGCCAACGCCCCTTTGGCCTCCGCTTCCCTAGGTGATAGCCTCTGGGGCGGAGCCGAGTGACCTCTCTGATGCTGCCCCACCTGTCCCGGTGTTGGGTGACATCCAGCTGGCCCTGGGGAAGCTGCTGCACGTGGGGAATCACCTAGCATTCTGAGCCTATGGCTCAGGAAGGAAAGCAAATGCTCTTTGAGTTGTCATAACAGAGCAGGCCTCCAGGCACCTCCTGTTTACCGAGGCTGAGCAAACACAGCGGGGCCCTAGCAACGGGCACAAAAGGGCCCTTGTGCCGCCTGCTCCCGGGCTCCCTCCCCACACAGTCCCAGCTGGAGTGCTCAGGGAGGCAGGAACACAGTGGGTGCAAAGCCTGCTGTGCCAGGCCTCAGGTCCCAGGAGCAGACCCACAGGGTCCCCATCCTCTACAGGAGACGGGACATTCAGCGCAGCTCTCCGGGCCAGCAGCTCAGGGAGGGCCTGACTCGAACTTCTCAATCAAAGATGGAGCTGGTGAACCAGGCTGAGGAGGTGCCCGTCTGGGCCGGGGTGTGTTCAGTCTCCCTTTCTCCTTATGGGACAGGGGACTGACAGCCCGCCTGACTCACCTGAGTCATGATGAGAACCTGTGAAGAGAGGCTCAGTCCACAAATTTGTGCAGAGGGATTTCTGGCTGAGGGAGCAGATGGCAGGGAAGAGTCAGGATAACCGGGTTGGACCCCTGCCGAGCGCAGGGAGCCTCCCAAACCCTCTGTGGGACGCAGAGGTGTCCCTGGCTGCTGAAGCCCACCCGGTACCCTGCGGGGGAGCCAGGAGGGCCTCACTTCTGAAGGCAAGGCCCGACGCACCAACATGGAAAGCCAGCCTCAAAACCTGGAGAGCCTCAAATGCCTGGTCAAAAACCTGCGAAAAAGATGTGAAAAGTAATTTATTGATGAATGAAAGCTACTGGCTGGTAAACTCTTAGAATCAACCTCAAACTTGACAGTAAAGGGCTGGAGGTATAGCTCAGTGGCAGAACACTTGCTGAGCAGGAGTGGGGCCCTGGGTTCCAGGTTCAGCTCCAGCACTGCAAAAGTAAGAAGCTAAATTACAGTGTCTTGGAGCAGCAGTGGTTTTTTTTGTTGTTGTTTGTTTGTTTTGTTTTTGTACCCTCCCCCCATCATTAGGTTAACAAAATGTCAGAAACCTTTCTCCCCATGTGGTGAGTTGCCCTTTCCTACTTGGGACCTCCAGCATAAACTCTGGGTCTCACCTTTCCTCATCTGTAAAATGGGCACTGACAACACCCACCTCCTGGGTTTGTGAAGGTTAAACTAGTTACTAGTCTAGAGTGCTTGGCCATGGCTAGGCGCACAGATATGCTTCAGCCAGACATACCTTGATGGTTACGGTTGATTCCCAGTCTTTCTGTGGGTACTTTGGGGACATATATCTCAGGTTCAAATGAGCCAAACAATTCCAGATGGGAGAAAACAAGACAAGAGGCAAAGAGTGATATAAACAGATATTCTGTCCAAACAGATATTAAGACAAAAGAAATTGGAAATGATCTAAACATCTATGAAGAAGCAGGAGGACTGGATCCTAACCCAGCGGCTAAGCCCGGCAGGCTGCTGTCTGTCTCCTGCAGACACACAGGGGAGGAGCCATTGGTCAGGGTCCCCTTTCTGGAGGTGGCAGGTCCCCTGTGTCAGCATGTGTCCTGAGACTCCAGTGAGGACATCCTCCAAACATCAACAGCGCATTTCTCTGAATGAAGCATTTTCTTCTTTACATTTCCTGTATTATTTAAATTTTAAAAGTATGCACATTTTTTTAAAGCCCACTAAAGCTATTCGCTTTTGTCTAAAGTTCCAGCACAGATGGCTGTGGGTGGAGCTCAGGGGCACAGAGCTTTCTTATCATGTTCAAGGCCGAGGTTTCCATTCCCAGTAGCACCAAAAACAAAAACAAAATAACCTTCATTATGCTGGGCCTGTAATCCCAGCACTTAGGAGGCTGAGGCAGGAGAATTACCATAAGTTCAAGGCCAGCCTGGGTGAGTCTGAGGCCATCCGGAGCTACACAGCGAGAACTTGTCACAAACAAAAACCAAACAACAAAAAACTTCAAGCCCAGTAAGTGCTAACTAGAAATGTGGCCTGGCATCCTGGGGCAGGGAACAAACGGTAGCAGGCCGCCAAGGTGCACCAGGGTCCAACTCTGCTTCTCAGTGGGAACTGGGTTGGTGCTGATGGTGACAGAGACATCAGCAGGTGGCCACACAGGAAAGTTCCTGGGCTCCGCAAAAGCAGAGGACCTAGGTGCAAAGGGGACAGGGTAGGGAATATGAAAGTTGGTCAAGGTGGCACAGGGCTGTGATCTTAGCAGCCTGGGAGGCTGAGGCAGGAGGATTGCCAGTTTGAGGCCAGCCTGGGGAACTTAGTGACTTGGAACTATACTCAAAATGAAAAATAAAAAGGGCTGGGGGTGTAATTTGGTGCAAAGGCCCTGGATACAAGAAAGAAAGAAAGAAAGAAGGTCCATTTTGAGGAATCTTGGGCTCAGAACGGCAGCCCCTGGCTCTGTGTGTGTAGGGAGGGGACAGCCCATAGTGTCACGGGGCCACTCCAACATGATACAGAGCTGGATAGAGGAGGTCAGTCTTCACCACAGTCACTGCGGCCAAGACAGGCTCAGGGGACCTTGAGGCATTTGCAGGCTGGGCGACCCTGAGCTTGTCCCACAGTGACCAGGCCCCCTCAGGACCGGCCCCACCACAGCCCACAGCCTCGGACAGGACCTGGACGCAGGCGCGTCCCCAAGAAAAGCGGGACCCCAGGAGGGAATGCTGGTGCCCATGGCCAACCCTATCAGCGGGGCTTTGTGCTGGCTGAAGGGCACAGTCATCTCCACCAATGCGTCACCCGGCTGGCGTCAGGGGCTGCTGCTGGCGCTGGGTCCCTCTGAGCAGGGTTGGAGACCTTGGCTGTGCTCAGTGGCATCCACCAGCAGGGGCAGGTGGTGCTGGGAGGAGGAGGAGGAGGAGGAGGGGGAGGAGGGGGAGAAGGGGGAGGGGAGGAGGAGGGGGAGGGGGGGAGGAGGAGGGGGGGAGGAGGGGGAGGAGGAGGAGGAGGGCAGCCCTGGGTGCAGCCGCAGGGTGTGACGCGCAGCCCAAGCATCTGGGCCGGGGGACACACGACACTGTGACCGGGTCCCAGAGCTCTCCGCAAAGCCTGCTGCCTTCAGGGGCGCAGTGGCCCTGGAACCTGAAGTCCTCCCACTGCAGGGAGGTCCCACCCCTGAGCCTTCTGTCCCCGCACTGCCCCCTGGAGGAGGGACGGAGGCCGGAGCTCAGGGGCAGCGTCGACATTTTGACTGACCTCTTCCTGGCGAAAAGAATCCTGATTTTGTTCAAAACGGCAGGAAATAAATCTTGCCTCACCACCAGTTGGTCATTGTTATGACCACCCTGTGTTCCTTTGCCAGATCCTCTTGTTCCCAGCTTCTTTTTTGACCCAGTTTCAGACCATGAAATATAAAAAACAGGGTGTGGGTATTTCAAGGAAAGCTTTTGTTTTTTGGTTAAAGGGATAGCTGCGACAGCAGTTTTCTTAGGTTGCTTTCCCGTTTTAATGTACAGGAGCACAGACATGATATCCGGTGCTACAGCAGCTATCCTGTCATTATGTGACCCAGGTTAGCACAGAAGATGGTGGCCAGAGGAATAAAAACCTGGATCCTTAGTGACCCCACCAAGCTTGGAAACCACTCTGAGACTTCCTGCACCCAGCGTCCTTCACAGATAAATAATTATTGTATTTATGGTTTGGTGGATTCTATTACAGCCAAATACACTGGGAAGGTGCTGATTGGAATCGGTCAGTGTGAGCATTTGTAAAGTACCCAGCTCGGTGTCCAGCACATGATGACCCTGCATAGACAGTGGCCACCACTGCACTGTGTGCACACACATACTTACGTGCAAGTTGCTTACACCTGTGGGTGGGTGATAGCTGTGTGGTGTGAACATGCTCAGGACTCTGGGGGCAGAATGGTTGTGGCCTGTTGCTTGGCTCAGAGGACCTCAGTGCCACCCCCTGAAACTTGCCGTCATGTGTGCAGATTCCTTAACCAAGCAAGAGGATGACGGGGAAACTGAGGCTCAGGGAAACGTCAACGAAGAGAGCCAAGAAATAGAGACCTGGGTGAGCCACACAGCACCTGTGTGTGCAGGGAGGCCAGTGTGCCTACAACCCCTGAGGCTGTGTCCCCCAGAGTGGTGGCTCCACACTGTCCCTGGTGGCTCCCTCACCCTTCTCCAAAGCAGCTGCTATCACAGCCCCTCAGGCAGCCTCAGCTCTGTGTGCCGGGCTGCCAGCCCTCCCCAGCCCCTTCTCCTGAGCATCTCACCCTCCTGGGGGGGCAGACCCTTTGGGCTGCCCTGAGGACCACGCCCCTCATCCTGAAGAGCTCCTTTCTTACCCCCTTCCCCATCCTCGCCTCCGCTCTGTACTGTGGCATAGGGAGTGTCCTCCTGCCCACCTGGAGCCTGGGGAAGACGCCCGCCTTGAGCCACAAACCTCATGGCCCTGGTTTTCTCCCAGTAGATGTGGTGTCCTTTCCTAGTGTCCTTTCCCCAGGGAGTCTTTGACCCAGCTAGGCTCTGGGCCAAAGAGTCGTTAAATCAAAGCACATCCAAGGAGAGAGAAAAATTGCTCCTCTGACCGGAGAAAGCCAAACAATGTCACCCGCCAGGGCCACTGGCTGCCTCCCAGGAGCTCAACACAGGAGAGGGTGGCTGGGAGCCGAGCAGAGTGAGGTCCTGTGCGGAGACCCTTGAGGGTCCCATCTGGCAGTGGCAGAGCTCCGCTGTGTTGTTGCTGAGGTCAAGAGCTGGCACCCTGCCCCTTGGGGAGGGTGGCCTTGCAGGTTGGGACCCCCCAAAAGAAGGTCTCCTGAGTCTTTGCAGCCTCCTGGCCTCCTGCGATCACAGGCCAGTGCCAGCCCAGCCTCTCACGGGACACGGGGAGGGGACCTGGCAGAATCACAGAGCAACTGGGCCACCCTTGGCTCTTCCTGCCTTCCCTGTAGTCCCCGTGCCCGCCCCGTGCCTGGCCTGCAGGAACCGTGACGGTGGTAACCACAGAGCCCTCCCAGAACCTCGCCTTCTCCGCTGAGAGCTCTGCTGGACTTGTGACCTGTTTAAGGGGGGCAGGAGCCAGAATACAGATCTCCTGGCCTCCCCTCACACCCCTCTCCGCTAACTAGTGCTGCTTCCACTGGGGTGCCTGCGGTGAGATACTGTTACTTCCCCTCAGTTACAGATAAGTAGGGTGGGGCGCGGACCCAAGCGGCAAACCCAAGGCCACACAGCAGATATGCAGCAGAGCCAGGGCTGAAAGCTAGGATGCCTGACTGTAGAGCTTGTGGCCTCGGACAAGGCCAGCGAGAAGCTGACAGAGTCCTGCATTCTCAGGGAGGACTCACTGCTTGGGCCCCTAGGTCCAGCAAGAAGGACACCATGCATATCCTGTGGCCTGTGGAGATCAGATCGCAGTGAGTGGCCTGCAGGCCTCCTCTCTTTCTCCAGCCTCTGGAGCCTCACTTTGAGAGCCCCAAGTACTGTGCCCAGGGTCTCTCAGGGACCTAAATGTTCTCGGGAAGTCAGCCAGGCCCGATTTCTCCCTCTCCCCAAGCACAGTGCTGATCTTGCTGTCACAGCAGTCACACACCACTCTCTGTCCCTTTGCAAAGCCAGCTGCTGTCTGAGGCCTCAGAGAGAGACCCCTCCCCGCTAGGCACGGCAGCTGGGGGATGGAGGCACTGAGTCTGTGGTGGTTGCCAGGGCAACAGCAGCCCATGGCTTTCAAGGCTGCCGAGAGCAGAGCCCCTCCATCCCTTTCTGCTCCAAGGCAAGGGTGCGGGGCTGGGAGGGGGTTTCTGGGGGTACGCAGGTGTCTGCAGCCTGGGGGCCTTCGCCCAACACAGTGGGGACACAATGTGACATACACTTGCTGTGCAACCAGGGGAAGGAGCTTGGGGATAGACCCCTGCCTCAACGCTCCTGGAGTCCCAGCCCCTGCCAGGCGCCAGCACTCTCATCCGTGACCAGACATGAGTTGCTTTTCTCAGGCTGCTCTAACGAAGCCCAAAGGCTGGTGACATCATCAGTGGAGCCCTGTTCCTCACAGCTCTGGAGGTTGACAGTTGTCACAGGTGGGTGGCCCCAAGGCCTCGCTCCTTGGTGTCTAGGTCACTGCCTTCTCTCTGTGTCTACACAGTCAGCTGCCCGTGTGCCTGTGTCCTCATTTCTTATGTGGACGCTGTCCTCTTGGGTCAGGGTCCTGTGACTTTATTGAATCACCTCTTTAACTGTCTTTTGATGCAGTCACATCCTGAGGCACTGAGATGGGGACTCAATTCAGCCCATGATGGGGTACGATCTGAGTATCTGCCTCCGGGGCGTGCTATGAGGATCATTCATGAAATCAGCCACCAAGCCGGGGCCCTGCCACCATGCTACATTCAGTAGCAATAAATTCATACTTCAGGGATATCCGGCCCACTCCAAGGAAATTTGGGTCCCGGAGCCCTAGACCTGGCTGAGGAGTCTGGGGTGTAGCCGCCCAAGCCTGACCCATCCGGTCTCCCAACAGCTGTGTAAGAGTGGACCTCTTTGACCTGGGTGCCTCATGCAGCCACAGAGCCTTGTTTTGAGACATCTTGTCCAGGACCTGTCCACACGCTCACCCCGCCCTGCCCCAGCTCCGGAGGGCCGTGTTCCCTGCCCTCCAGGTGAGGATGAGGAAGCCGCTCCTGCCCCACCTTGGCTTCTGGCAGCCTGGCTTGTCTTTCGGGGAGGTGGGAGGCCCAGATGGCCCTGGTCAGGATGAGGACAGGGTCGCTGGGGTCCCGGTGCTTGGGCCCTGCTCTACCCTGCTAAGCCTCCACTTCCTGAGCCGGCTGCCAGGACAGGCTGGGCTTCACAAATCCTTCCTAAAAAGGAATTGGACTGTGGTGGCCCAGGCTATTTTTAAACAATTGTGTCAAAAACCCTAAAGTACATGCAGCATCTTATGTTTTTTTTTACATGAAGAAAAAAGTGGGGAGTAAGCAGATTCTCACCTGCCCTTGGGAGACACCCCACATCTATTGGCCTTGTATCTGGCCGGTCTGGGGTTTAGTGCTCAAGGATTTGGTCCCCAGGCGGGACCTACCCACTCCCTTCTCAGCCTGTAGTCTTCAAGGGATCACCCCAAATTACAGAAACTCGAGGTCCTCACTCATATGTCTACACCGACGGGGTTTTCACCACCTTAGTAAACACGCCCATCATCCCCAAGTCTCTTTTTCCCTTTGCCATCCCTCCTCCCGCCTCCCACCGCGTTTCTGGCCCAGGCAACCCCAAACCTGCTTTCTGTCACTGTGTATCAGCTCAAAGTTTCTAGAGTTATGTGTTTATATCATTAGAATCACAGTTTGGTACTGGAGAACCAATCCGGGTTCTTTGCACTAAGCTACATCCCCTGCCTTTTCTAAAATTTTCATTTTGAGACAGTGTCACTAACTTGCCTAGTCTTGAACTTGCAACCCTCCTGCCTCAGCCTCCAAGAGTGCTGGGATTATAGGCAAAGTGACTGCCTGACCTCTTTTGACAGGTCTTTCTGCCTCATCAATATTTTGAAGCACGTTATTGCTGAATGGTACCCTTGGTGAGGACAGGTCACTGTTTGTTTATTTAGTCATCTGCTGATGGATGTTTGAAGTG